GGGACCTTTAAAGGTCATCTAGTCCAGCTCCCCTGCAGTGAGCAGGGAAATCTTCAACTAGATCAGGTTGCTCAGAGCCCCATGAAGCCTGACCATGACTGTCTCCAGGGATGGGGCCTCCACCACCTCTCTGGGCAGCCTGCTCCAGTGTCTCACCACCCTCATAGTAAAGAACTTCTTTGTAATATCTAATCTAACTCTCCTCTTCTCTAGTTTAAAACCATTTCCCCATATCCTATCACTACATACCCTTGTAACCAGGCCTGCCCCAGCTTCCCTGTAGGACCCTTCAGGCACTGGAAGGCCACCAGAAGGTCTCCCTGGAGCTTTCTCTTCTCCAGCCTGAACAACCCCAAATATTTTCCTCTGCAAACATGCTCTGCTGGAACTATTTGTACTATTTGCACTTCTCATAGAGCTCTAAATAAACTTTATCAGATCAGGACAGAAGATCTGGAGAACACTATAAGCCAACATCTGCTCAATATACATTCACCATTAAAAAGTAAATAGTAGGTTTGGCTCCATAAGGAAGGGTTGAAAACGATCAGACTGCAACACATGACACAAACCAAGGGCATGGCCTAGAATACTTTGTAAAGCAATGATCACACCAGCACAAAAACAGCCCTCAAGCATCAAAATGGCTTGAAGGATGAGAGATTTGAATATAAACATGGAATAACATCACGAGGAGAGACTGAAACGACTGGGGTACTGTAAGTGCTTGACAAATGTTTATAAAATAATGGATGTTATAGGAAAGATGGATGGGGACCTTCTGCTTCCAGGAGACCAACCCCAGAACAAGAAGACACTCGGTGCAACTGAAGAGGGGAAGCCCTGGGCTGACTGGGGGAAATCCTTTTAACACCATCTGTATACACAGGATGAACTGCTTTGCTCTAGGGAGGTGTGAGAGACATGGACAGGGATTTCCAGAGGCCTGAACGTCAACTGCAGAACGATTACATGCAGCCTGGCAAGACTTAATACTGCAAGGCTGTGAAGGATGTGAGAAGATCTCCAAGTCCAGGGTTAGGACCAATGCTCTAAAAGTCAACAAGAGCAGCTTTAATACCCTATTTCTATCTCTGTCAGCCCTCTCCCAAATATCTGATGCCCACCACTATGAAAACCACGGTATGAAACACACGGTGCACTGACCCACACTGGCTGCTTGCATCCCTTTGGAAAAATGAATTCCTCCTGGAGTTTTGCTGGGGAGTGGGTGAGGGCAGGGGCAGAGGCAGTGCCCTGGGCTCTTAAATGGCCTGTACAAGAACTATGAACAACAACTGCTCCTTCTAACAGGCTGAGTGGCTGATGGGACAGCTGCCATGAGGTTCCTCCACGTCCTCACGTGTCCAGCACCCCGCACCCCGAGGCTCAGAATGCCTCCTGCCACTCTCCTAGCTGTGCCTAAATACTGAAGCTGGACCGGGAGTAGTTCTCCCTTCTATGTGTTTTTTTCTGAAATACCAAAGCTACTGTTTTAGCTCAAATCAGAGCAAAAAGAGAAGGGAAAAAAAGAAAAAAGAAAGTTCTGTTAGAACCGCCCTACACAGCCAAATCCTGAGACTGAAAACATTTCAGATGTCTACAGTCTTAATTTGCTTTTGCAGCAGTTTAATCCCTTTGAATTCAGCAGACTTCCTTCTACAGTGGTGTAAGAAAGAAAAAAGAAATCACGCCATGTGTCTTTTCATAGGCAGGTGAGCTTCTGTAGTGTGATGGAAATGGGAAGATGAATGTCAGAAAGTGGGCCAAACTCTTTTCTCTGTTAAACAAGCACGAGCAAGAGTAAGATTTTTCTGTAGGAACTGAAGCTGACAGCATGTCAACCAGCACTCATTCAGCTGGGAGGGCTGGGAGAGATTATTTAAAGTTGTCAGCTCCTTCCATGCCTGGCTTTTGGCAACTCTTCTTGTCCCTTTCCACTGTATACTCTTCATACGTGCTGTTTTAAATTAAGAAACTGAAGTGAGGGAGCTGAAAGGTAAACTTGAAGAAAATAATGCAGAAACAAATGCTCTGCTGTATTTTGGTTCATTTAAAATCTAGTAGATAGGGAGCCTGCAAACGCTGACAGGTCTTATGGTGTATTCCCACAGAAACTGATGCCCTTGTTGCTTCATCCTGGCACTTACTTTGGCAACCACAAATACCCAGAACCAGAGAGCAACGTTGGATTCCATAAAACTGGAGCAGAACAAATAAATGGTAACGAATGAGGCTACTTTCCAGACATCTCAGCCTTCTCCTAATAACTAGGAGAAGCCAATGGCAAAATGAAAATGAGAATATGCAGGGCAAGTGATACATCACTGGGAAAGCTTCTCGTAGGTGCTTACATTAGGGAGACTCTACAAAGTTTGCCAGCATCAATCTGCTCTGTTGAGTTAAAAGATTGCAGTTTAATGTCTTGGTCTGTGCATTTTCACAGGGATGTTCCCCATGTCCAGCTCCATTACCTGATTTTTTCTCTCCTTTTTGCCTCTAACTGTGTCACTGAGGACAACTTAAGGAATAAACTTGTTTAAGTAGACCGCTGTCTAATTATCATGGCTATCCTTAGCAATAAAACCCCAACAATATGTAAAAGGATAAGCCCAGGTATTTCTAATGATGATTACTTCCTGATCTATGAAGCAGAATCTCCAGCCAGTAAAGAAAAGCACTATTTGCTTTTAAAGTGTTTACACTTTGAAGATTTCACAGCTACTTTATGAACTTCAGGCTGGGAGCATGTCAGGAAGGTTTCTGAAAGGAAAGTAGCTCGTTAGTACGCACTGCTCCACTGGGGTCCCTTTTCTGTTCCACTGTAGAATATCTGTTATACTGATCTGAAAATACAGTGGAAGTGCTGCGAATCTTTTAGGATTTCACTCTTTTCAGCTTCCTAAAAAGCAGCACTGTTCCAGCTGTAACGACATCAGCAGCACATATCTCAGTGAGCATTTTCCTGGGAGGTTTCACAGGTAGCTCTGTCGTGAACAGGAGGACTGGGTGTACGTGGGTGTAGGTACAGAAAGACAACTCAACAGTATCCTCTGAGCTGATCCAAAGCCTATTAAAGACAACAGGGATCTTTTCCCTGGTGCTCACAGGTTCTGGATTAGGCTCTGCTTTACTCATTTTAAAACGATCCCCTTGTTCAGCTCAGTTGCTACCTGTTGCTGACACTCAGTCCGAATCCTCAGAAGATCTGAGCATGTGAAGGGTGGGATAAACACCTTCACCTTCTGCCTGCAAATCACCCCAAAGGGATTGTTTTATTTTAAAAACCAACAAAATCCTTCAAGCAAATGAGCATTTTGCTTATGGAGCTGGTGCACACATTTTAAAACCTTATTGTTTTATACCTGTGTTTGTTCTCCCACTTTTAGGAAGCTCTGCTTGGCTTTGGGGATTGCAGAAAGAGGGAAGATCCATATGAATGCAGCTACCAGCTGAACCTGAAGCACGAGGAGATGTCCAGGTAAATGTTTAAGGACTGTTTTCCCTTTGAAGCCACCACGTGTAACTCTAGCATCCTACTGACTCCAGGAGTAACGCCGAACACTGGAAGTGTTCAGTCAGCATTTTAAACTATTATGAGCTACCTTCTGAACCATTGCCAAGTTAATAGACAATGAAAGATAATGAGCTTGAAATTGGGTGTTAAATTGCATTTTTGGTTCTCTCCCTTTTTTTTTTTTTTTTTTTTTCCTTTCTTGAAGTTTAACTGTTTCCTGCAGGAACAACATCATCTTTGATGTATCATTATGTAAACGTCTATTTTTAGGTCACAAAAAAAAGTCAGGCCTGGGCTAAAGCCTCATTCCTCCTGCTACATGTGTGTGGGAAGGGGGAGCGAGGCAGACAACACACAGCAAGACCCAACACTTTCTGGTCCCCAGAGGGAAGAAGGTGGAGAGATGAGGTTAGGTCTGCTGGCAGCATGAGCCTCCAAATTAAGACGGAGATTACTCGGCTTGCTCATTAACAGTGTGCTAAAAAGACCACATTCATTTCACATAGGTAATGTGAGGAGTAATTCTATGTGCTCTTTTAAGGACTTTCAGCTGAATTCAGGGGTTTTACATCCTGTAACACCTTTGTAACGTGCATCCAACCTGCCCATGGCATAGCCAGGACTGTAAAAGTCAGAAAACGCTGTAAATTTACAGATCAGCATGCAGAAAACAGCACTTATTTTTCTACAAGCAGTGTTGTGTAATAATAGCTCTTCAGTGGAATAACAGAAAATTTAATGCTTCGTCTAGAATTGCATAATTAAAAATAATAATAAATTTAAAAAAAAGTGTGACTCTAAGCAGTAGAAATACACCTCTTAAAAATGGGAAAGCCAGCCTAGCATCGGACACTCGATCCAAACAGGAATGGAAGGTCTGCAATGAAACTGTATTTTCTCTACAGAAATAATTGCAAAGAACAGGACATGACAAATACCAATAAATTATTCTTCTGAGAAACTTTTTTTTTCTGTGCAACATGCCATAAAAAGCAGAGTTAAAATAATAATAAAGATGAAAATCAAATCATTCCAAAAGGCAGTGAAATCATACCTGATACCAGTCACCTGCATTTTTTGAGGACTGAGGATTAAATTAGGATAGGAAGGTAGGCTTATCCTCATTAGTATAATTGTAGGATCTTTCTTTTATTTTCCTTTTAAACTAATGAGTTGCATTAATCCAGGTTCATTTTTATAAGCCTCTTGGGTCCAAATGTAAAGGACAGTCATTTTAGAAAACAATAAATTAAAAAAAAAAGCATGTAGCATGCATTAAGTGCACGTATTTCATAAGACCTAGGTTAATACAACTGGCATCTAGTTTAATTAATCCTTGTTAGTGTAACGACTAATATCCCTCCCTAGCATGTTTCCTTTAAACATTAGTATGTTAATTAAATGTTGTTTTTTTAAGGGTTTTTTTTTTCCCTTTGTACTTCAATATGGCATTCTACCACGTAAAACTATTCTGAACAACTACCTTATAGAGATGTTTCCTTACAATATCTGGTCTCTTGCAGAAATTCTGAAGCCTTTTAAAAAGCTGTTCAGGTGTAGAATACAGATACTCAGCTGCAGGAAAAACAGATACATTTTTAATGAAACAAAAACCTCAAAGCACACACTCGATATTAGTCACTTTACTAATTAAAAATGCATATTGCTCTGTGCCGCCTCGTGTTTTACATTATTTAAGCATGATTTTATAAGGTTACCTCAGCTCACAAGGATGTTTAATGCTAAATAAGACTGTGTAGTTGTGCTGTTTAGACATCTCCTTTGGGTGATTAAAATACATTATTCTAATGTAACACAATGCATATGTGATACATTTAGTGATGAGATTTTTTCAAAGAACTGGTACTACATTAGTGTGGATCCTGTACTGCAGTTGCATACTATCAAGTATTAAATTGTTTATATAATTTGGTGTGATTTTCAGGCCTCTTTTTTATTTTATTTTTATTTTTTTTTAAACTGTGTATCAAAAAAAATCTGCAAACCATTGCAGCATCGCTGACCTTTTAACAAAAATCTATCATTACGGGTTGTGTATGCTAACAATGAAGAATGCTATTTCAAAACTTGCTTTTGTGTTATCTTAAAAGAACAGATGGCAAATATAAACTTCGTCTAATGTATTAAAACACATAAAATTTTCCTTAACACTAACACGTTGGCTTGCCAAATAAACAATTGCTTTTGCTCGAGTTTATTCTCAAACTTTCTATTTTAGCCTGGATTACGTTTCAGCAAAAAAAAAAAAAAAAAAGAACGTGCAGCAAAGCAGCTACCTGGAAATATTTCTGGGTACACCAAGGCTTTGGGACACAGAGGATAGCAGCCACAATATACAGCTTCCACCCTGAAGATGAGAAACAATAAACACACCAAAAACAGACGTTAGTGAGCCAAAAAACTTACTCTGGTGCAAGAGCATTGAGGTTGACTCCGTATAGCAAGAACGTATTTCTTGAAACCTTTTTTTTTTCCTTCAGCAGCATAATCCTCCTAAATGCCAAAGTTGCTCTTTTTAAAGAAAATTTTATTGATCATATGAATTACATAGAACAGAACAGCGAGCATATGTTTTGTTCGCTGAATAAATCAAAGCGCAGCTCTGCATTTTTTTGTTTTTTAAATACTGTTTAACACATTTTATAATCAGCAGACAGACACATGTAACAACATGGTGAAGTATGGACGGCTTTTCTTAATAATGCTGCAGGAAAACCAAGGCACACGTGCCCAGGGTTGGGTGTACACAGGGATGCACATGACTGCTCTTACCTGGCACAACAGATAGTCTCCTTAAAGACTCCAGAAGTTACAGTTAAATATAGCCCAGGAACAACTTCCAGCATGCTTCAGGCTGGGCTATTTTAGCTTATGCACACAATTCAGGTAATTTCCTTTATTTTTCAGGATGTAAACTGTTGTATTTTTTAATAACTTTTTGGTTTTTTAATGATGAAATTCCTTTGCCCATATGTGGGATGCTTTGTACCTGTGTTTTTTTTTCAAAGAAGAATTTACCTATCTCCTGTAAAACCAAAGCCAAATAGTTTATAACTGCAACACAATGGTTCAAAGTTTTCTAGCAGAAAAACTTTCCCCTGCACGCTTGCATTTTAATAGCTGAACAGGTTCAGGCATCAAGTTTTCAGTTTAATTCAACGACCATCGATCGGACAGAACGTCCCCCCAAAGATACAACTCTAATTTCTGCTGGCCAGAAATTACACAGTGAAATTCAAAACACTTCTTAAAATATGTTTACTTTATGAGAGTCTTTGAATTTCCTCCAACATGTTGACCAGACGATGACTTTATTTTTAACTTCAGTTTCCCTCAGTCCCCAGGAAAAAAAAAAAAAATCTGAAATCTTGTCAACCTTCACCTTTTCTATTTTCAGTGACAATCCAAAAGGCTTTCACTACCTTCACGTGCTTATTGGGTTTGGTACTTTATTACAGGCACCCAGAAGGAACCCTGTTTCCTTTAGATCTACTCAGTTTGAAACAGGAAAAAATAAAATAAAGAATAACAAATTCAGCTTTCATGCTAGAAAACTATGCCTACCCACAAAACCCAAAGATACACGTTTCTCTGCAAATGCTTTTGCTAAGCAATGATTTC